AATTTATGGAACTTACTACATGTTCTCTAAATCTTATAAAAGATTAATGTAATTTATCCTTTTATAAAATAATCATAAAAAATTTGAAATAAATATTAGATATTTATGGTAATATTATCATTGAATGAAAAATTTAACATTATAAAAGTAGTCCCACATGATTATAATGTTACTTTTGCATTTAATATTTGTCAATGGAGTGAGAGATTATAGTAGAGAGAAGTCTTGCAAGAAATTCTAAAAACAACACCATGAAATTCACTCATAATGACAAAACACTAATAATGACAAAACAGAAGATTATGTTACAAGTGTTTGGCTACAAAATTTTCCACCGCATTTAAAAGATTACATTATCCTCATTTAGATTTATAATCTTATTATAAATTATCTCATAAATTATTGATATCACATTTTAAAATTTTTTAAATGATCATTTTATTCTTTTTTTCTTACAATTTCTTCTTCCTATCATTATGACTATATCCTAAAACTTTTTATCATTAAATTCTACTTAAACATATTCTTATTGAGGGATGATATACAAAAATAAATTTTATATAGAATTTTCAAATACATTGATATAACTTAATGGTGACCTTTCACTTTAAAACAAAACATCCATAAACATGATTTATATTTACAATAATATCACTATTACAATATCTTTATGATATATATATTTTTTGTATAAATATTTATATATGAATCTAATTTTACAGAGCCCAAGAGGCCATCAGACAAGCCTCTTCGTCTCCCACTTCAGGATGTCTACAAGATTGGCGGTATTGGTAATTTGGCCCACTTTTTTGATCAACACCAGCATATAGTTTCAAAGAGATAACTATATTATATAATTTTTTCTATTTTAAAATATTTTTCCACCGTCCAAACCTTTTTTTTTTATCTTATATATATAAAAAATTGGATGGAACTCACGTGGGTGCTACTTTTTCTTTTTCTTCTTTCCACAGCCCAACTTTTCCTTGAACCTCAATTTTTTATTATTAAAAATAAAAAAATAAAAAATAAAAAAATTCATTCCATCTAATTTTTCTGCTCAGTCTTGTACCTTCAAGCCATTCGGATTTGCACAATACACTCATTTTATTTCTATCGGGATTTCGCCCTGATCACAATTTTACACCAAAAAAAACAACAAACAACAAACCCAAACAACCACATCCACAGGCGGGATTTTTCTTCTCTACTCTGCCGCCGGTCTCTTCTTCTTGCCTCCGTCCTGAGCGGCCCTTGGTGAGTTAGCCTGGCCTATAAATACACGTAATACTAATATCTACCTAATGCTCCTCCACTGCAGCATATGGCGGACCTCCAAATCGGAACATCACGGTGGCCTTCCGCTTCAGCTCCTTATTTTCCGCCTTTAGCACACTTATCTCTGCTCGCGCATCCTTATACATGCGCTGGAGCAGAGCCAGTTGGGCGTTTAACTGCTGCACCTCATTTGTCCTACTCTGCAGCCGGTGCGACAAGTTTGTGACCGCAGTCATGGTTTCCACACATGACTTCAATGTATACTAATTGGCCTCAATATTCGTTTGCACTGCCATTTTTTGCTCCACCGACCGCATCGGAAAGTTCAACGGAGCAAAACCAGAGGTGTTTGGTTGAGGTTCACGGGCCACCGCACCTGTTATCTCTCCTGTTGACTCGTTGAGGTCGGGAAAGAGAGTGAGCAGACCACGGGAAGATGAAGCCATGTTCTGGGTAGCTGAACGGGAAGAAGAGGCCATGTTTTTTGGGTTGCTGAGTGTTTCCGAGAAGGGTTGGATACAGAGTATTTACAGATTGTTTCAGAATGACAAGTAAAGCTTTTGTATGATCAGTCTGGTTTGGTTTCCTCCGCCTCCGCATTGGTTTATATCGACACTGACGACGCGGCCGACACGCCACTCTGTCGCTCACGTGCCTCGCCGCGTCTCCGGCTCACCTTTTGATGGCTCGACGCTTTCTGTCGGGCACGACTTTTGATGAAGTGGACGCGCCTTTTGAGGGCGCAACTTTTGATGGCACGCCTTTTGAAAGATTGGGCACACCTTTTGAGGGTGCGACTTTTTATGGGTCCGACAAGACTCTGTAAACATAGGTAAATTACACGTGTTTATTTTGAAATTAAAAAATATATATATTTTTAACATAATTATAATGACATCATTTTACTAAGTCCAATTCGATTGACACCTCACCTACTCCACTAAACCTAACCCACTACACCACTACCACCTCACCTACTCCACTAAACCTAACCCACTACACCACTACCACCTCACCTACTCCACTAAACCTAACCCACTACACCACTACCACCTCACCTACTCCACTAAACCTAACCCACTACACCACTACCACCTCACCTACTCCACTAAACCTAACCCACTACACCACTACCACCTCACCTACTCCACTAAACCTAACCCACTACACCACTACCACCTCACCTACTCCACTAAACCTAACCCACTACACCACTACCACCTCACCTACTCCACTAAACCTAACCCACTACACCACTACCACCTCACCTACTCCACTAAACCTAACCCACTACACCACTACCACCTCACCTACTCCACTAAACCTAACCCACTACACCACTACCACCTCACCTACTCCACTAAACCTAACCCACTACACCACTACCACCTCACCTACTCCACTAAACCTAACCCACTACACCACTACCACCTCCACTTCACCTACTCCACCTACCACCTCCACTTTACCTACTCCATCTACCACCTACTACCACCTACTCTTCTATATATAGGAATCATTGTAGCATTCAATAATTCAACAATTACAAACATCAATCAATAATACAATTCTCTTTTTCTCTTTATACATTAAATTTCTACAAAATATATATACCTATTTAATGTAAAAAGTGTATTGTGTTACATTTTTTTTGTTATCTATAAATAAATTGTTCATTTCATATACATGACATATAATAAACTAGCGCAATACTAGTACAAGACTAACGACAAAGAGAAATGCACACATAACATGTGTTGCTTAAGTGGCAACGGTCTTCTTTACCAAACTTATGATCTTGGTTTCGAGTCCTATCCTCCTCTTAATATAAATTTTACATAAACACCAACTACAAGGGTATTTTGGGAAAACCCAAAATATGAGACATCAACACCATGAGAAGCCTTTTCATACATAATAGTATAGATAGAAGATTTATAACAATATAAAATTTTAACGTGTTCCAAGCATGTTGTGTCTTGCATTTTTCGAAAATTGACGTGTTGGTGTGTTGGTGTCATGTCCGTGTCCATGCTACTTAGACAGAATCTCAGTTATATCACTCATTCACCATGGATAGAAACTTCACCACTCACTAATCAATACAATCAGCACATTTCTAACTTACTCTTCCAGTAGTGCAATACATAACCTTGTACTTTACTTAAACAAGTCATATAGTTTTCTTCAAGTCTTTTGTCATTTAAGTGACTAGGTCATTCCTAGTCTTGAATCCATGATTTTTCCCTCATGTTTGGCCATGAGGCAGTTACACAATCAGTGCACACCAATCAAATATAAAGACATAATTTAAATGCTAACCATCTAGCTGAACATGCAATCCTGTAGTGTGTTACATGGACTCTTCTGTTTTCCCCATAGTACTTGTGTCTACCGGATATGACATGGTTAAGGATCTGGGATATGTGTCCGACACTCATACCCAATTTAGACATTCAGATCCTTTAATTTGTGACAATACACGAAGAAGAAGAAACTCACATTTGTCAATAAAGCAATGTTTTTAGCCTCTCACATGAATTAGATATAGAAATTTTATATTTTTCCTGAATCCTAATTAATTTCTAGTATATTTCTACATTATTTACAGCATTTCATCCGAGAATATTATATAATATACAATATATATGTGCATATGACATGTCCCCGTACCCATAACCAATTTTGGATACATACCCCAAGATCCTAAGATTTAAATTTATGAAGATCTGACACTTGGATACACACCCGCAACCGATACTCGTACCTGAGTCCATGTAACATAGGTCCTGTATAGGTATAAATTGCACAGCATTGCCTTTTTCACAAAATGACTTTTTAGTTTCCATATGCCATAGATCAGGAAAATGGGATGCAGTAACTTCACGTCACACTGGTCCATTCCTTTACCCAGTCACTGATCTGATGTTCAGATTCATGGTTTAACAAATTCTCCTCTACGCAATCACTGAACCTTCAGATTCATGGTTGGTCTGTCTGGTAGTCTAAATTATTACCTAAATTTGTAACACTTGATGCAAATCCAATTCTTGTAATGAATAATTTTACATGACCCATCTCCACACGTTTTAATTTGTATATGCTTCTCATGATATGTTCAACATTCGACTACAAATTGGTCTGGTTTTATACTACAAGATTAGGCACTTCTTCTCCATATTTGAGTTCTAGTAAATTTGTTTTAAAGACAAACAAAATTCAATGGTGGTATTTAAAAAACATTTTTTGAAAATTGCCAATGAAAATGTACAAGGAGTTTAGTCATTTCTCTTATCAAAAAATAAAACTTCATTGGTCACTTAAAAAAAAAAAGTGAGCCAAATTTTCCCAAAGCCAGGGTGAACTGAATTTACAAATAAAAGGATATGTTCTGGAGGTTTACACAGAATAAGGCCCGAAAGGGTCAATATTTGTAGTCTGTGTGTCCTTATGTCACGTGGCTTCATTATTACAAATTGCACCCCGAAAGAACTCCATCAAATTCATTCAATAAAACACCAGTTATCCATGCAAATCCAATTCCTGTAAAATATAATTTCACATAACCCCATCTCTGCATGCACAAATTTGTATATACTTCTCATGATATGTTCGATATTCAACTGCAAATTGGTCTTGTCAACACAACAAATTAGGCACTTATTGTCTACATTAAGGTTATCAATTCCATACCATACCGGCCAATACAGTCTGAGATACTGTTTTGCCAAAAACTGATACAAAAATGCATTGATTCAGTCCCGATGAATTTTCTGGGCTGTTCAGCCTTGATGTGATAAGGCTCACACTCCCTAGCACTAAAAAAGGCTGACACCTCTTACAGTTGATGTTTATAGTTATAGGCTTATAGAATTTTGAATCTCTCAATAGTCTCATTCAGTCACTCTCTGTATTTAAATGCATATATGAATTAAATGTGTATGCATATTTTGGATATTTGTATGTAAGTTTAAATTTTATACAAAATTCACATTATATTATACACATACAATACAACTTATATGTGTTTGTAAAACATAAATTTCTCATAAATATTGTTATAGAATGCCTTCGGAATGAATATTTTTTTCTTTTTTTACCAGTATGATACATTCTATCAAATGTATGGAATTTTATAAATACATACAAACGAAATAAAAAAGAATAGTGATAAATCCAAAACAGTACCCGAAAACATTCTAGTAGCCATACCTACTATGCGGGTGACAAAAAAGGTACATTAAACAGCACAGTATTGACAACATTGGCCCACATTATGTTCTAGCTAAATTGGTTTCAAATAAATACCAAAATAAAATGGGGTAATTTAGGAAAAAAAATTTGCAAAATGGCAATGAAAGTGTACAAGGAGTTTAGCCATTTCCCTAGTTTAAAAAATAAAATAAAATGAAATAAACTTTATTAGTCAATTTAAAAAAAGTTGGCTATATTGCCCCGAAACCAAAATGAACTGAATTTACAAATAAAAGGTTAAGTCCAGCAGGTTTACGCAGAATAAGGCCCCAAAAGATCAATATTTGTAGTCTTCATACTCAAGCAGTTTCATTATTACAAATTGCACCACAAACGAACTATAACAAATTCATTCCATAAAATCAATTATCCACACGTTTCTAATTTCTCAGTTAGATTTTGGTGGGGTTTGGCAAATGCTTTTTTAGCATATTTTTTGCATTTTACTTTTTTTAAATAAATAAGTAGTAGTTAAATAAGCTGATGCGTTTGGAAAATGCTAAAGAAAATGTCTATTTCAGCCAAAAACAAACAGGGCATTTAAAGATACTTCGAATATTCAGTAAGCAGCAGCAATACCCTCAATGGCCCTAACTCTTTACAAATTCTAACTCCAAAGAACTTTGAACTCTTTCAGAGTATAAACAAAGATGAAAAGTATCTCCAAATATATACCATAACAATTGCACAAGACTAATGACAACGTAAACAACCATTGCTACAACTCCATAGCAGAACCACAAACTACGCGTGCTTCCAATACCAATAACAAAAACCCAAACAAATCTAACAAAAACTTTACCCATGTCTCAATAATCATATTCCTGCACATACCAACAAAACCCATTTTGATTGAATCTGATTCCATAACAAACAAAACAGAAATGCTAACTATCAATTCAGATAGAACAGTAAACTAGCAATATTTATACATGAACTCACATTAATGCTATGTTTGGATTGAGTGATTTGGAGAGAAAAGAAAAGAAATGGAGAGATATATATTTCTCTTACTTATTTGGTAAATTAAATTGAGAGAAATGGGAAGAAATTGAGAGAAACTTATTTCTCTTATAAGCCTCATTTTCAATATTTCTAAAAGTGGAGAGATTGAGAGAGAAAAGAAACCATTACTTTTATAATATCAATTTTGCCCCTACAAAAGTAAAAGAAATAAAATGATTGAAAATATAAAAAGGTTATTTTAGTAATATTACATAAAATAATTTCTTTTCTTTTACTAATGAAATGAAATCTAACCAAACAAGTATGAGAGAAACAACGATCATTTCTTTTCTTTTATTTCTTCCTTATCCAAACAAAAATGAGAAATTATAATCTTTTCTTTTCTCTTATAACTTAGGTAATCTTTTCTTTTTCTTTTCTCTCTTCATTCCTAAGTTCCCAAACATAGTGTAAGATTAAATTATGAAGAAAAACAAAGAGTATACAAAGAACTCACAGGCTCCGAGTCGAGTTTAACAGAGGGACCGATAGCTCCTTCGCTGGATAATAGTTGCCGAAGCCTTGATGGCAAGCTCGACCTTAGGGCTGCCATCTCACCCCTACTTGTCTACTTCTATACACTGCGCGCGCGCGCACACACACACACACATATATATATATATTGGCGAGAAAATCAAATCACAATCTTTAGATTGAATAGATAAGAAAATCAAATAGATAACAATAAAAGGGTTTGGATTGAACATAGAATAACGAACAAAGAGATCAGATATACGTGTAGAGAGAGAAAGAGGGGAAAACCTGGTTACCTGAGAGAGGGCAGCGGTGGATTGCACACGCATCCCAAGGTTCGAATATACAGAGAAAAAGAGGGATTTGAAGAGAGAGAGAGAGAGAGAGAGAGAGAAAAGCGAAACCCCAAAGCGAAAAGAGAGAGAGGAGAGGGGTGTGTGTATCGTGTATTGTGTATTGTTTAGCCCTTGGAAACGTAGAAGAGGGGGCGTTTTTCCAATCTCTATCTGCTGCTTCCTATTTTTATTTTTATGATAACGGCACTCTACTTTTCTCCAGCCACTCTACTTTTCTCCAATGTTAGGGTGGAATTTTGAAAAATAGATGGAATCGATTAAAATGGATCGAAATTTTTGTTTTTTATTTTATAATTATACATATAAATTTAAATTTAGATTTAAATTTTTGATTTTTTGTGGATAATGCACCAATAAATTTCAAATTATAAACTTTTGAACCATTTAGTTATGCATTTTATTTTATGCACCGATAAGTCTGATTTGAGTGGTAATGACGTTTTTATACATTGTATTAGCCAGTGGTGTCCTGAATGTTATGGGTAAATTAGGGTTTTGGTGATGTGAAAATTATGTTTGTGCCTAAAAAACTTATTATAGTCTTTTTCTATTTTCCCTCCATCCCAATCAAAATAGAAGAGACAAAAATGGAAACATTGTGGATTCTCGATGTTAATGGGTGTAGATTGCTTTATTTGTAGGAATGGCAGCGGGGCGGGGCGAGCTCGGGGATCGCACTCCTCGTCCCCGATCCCCGATGGTTGCGATGTCCCTGTCCCCGGCCTCAACCCCCAACGGCGAACCTGTCACCGACTCCATCCCCGCCCCCTAATAGGGATCGGGTCCCCATCCCCGAAAATTCCCCGCCCAAATCTGTTTTAACATCATCAACAACTTTTAACATCAAAAAAATATCAAGAACATCAACAAAATTATCAACAACAAAATTATCATCATCAACATGTGCATTAACTACCAAAAAAAATAAAAATAGACAAATAGATCTGAGATCAACACAGATCTGAGTGTGCATCATCAATCAACACAGATCTGAGATCTGTGTGTCATCAAACAAATTTGAGATCGGCGATGGTGACTGCGACGAAGGTGGACGACGGTGGCTGCGATAGGCGATGGTGATTGCGATGAAGGTGGACAACAGTGGTTGCAATCAGCGATGGTGACTGCGACGAAGGTGGACGACGATGGTTACGATGGACGAAGGCGATGGACGACGGTGGCTACCAGCGATAAAGGCGGTGGCACTGAGGGGGAGGAGAGGTACGAGAGTGAGAGAAAGAGAGACTCTAAATGAGTGAGATGGAGAGAGAGAGAGATGAGAGGCTGTGATATGAGGAAGAGAACGAGAGAGAGAATAGACAGAAGAGAGAGAGTGTGTAGATATGAAATGAAAGAGAGAAAGAGAGAGGCAGAAACAATATATAGAAAGTATATTATATATATATTAAAGGGTTGTTTGGGATGATCTAAATAAGTACACTTTTTGACTTTTTATGAAATATGAGTTGGATTTGGGTTGGGTTTGAAGTGATGTGTTAGAGAGGTGATGTGACTTAAATAAGATAGTGGCTTTTTGACTTTTTAACTTTTCTAAAACTTGCCAAACTAGCCCTAAATCGGGGACAAGCGGAGTGAGGCCGGAGCTTGGGCATTGATCACCGTCCCCGGCCCGAAATTGATTGGGGATTAATTTTTAAATACCATCCTCATCCGTTGGGGATATTTTTCATGAAAAAACCATCCAAATCGGGATGGGAGATCGAGTCCCCGTCGTACCGGTTTCAAATTGCCATCCCTATTTATTTGTTGTTTATTTGATTTTGGCAACGTGAAACCCTATATTTGTGTTACGAATTTTGACATGTGGTTCCCCTCAAACCCTAAAATACAAATCTCCAATTCTATCAGTGTAGTAATTAGGATCAAGAACTACATCATTCCGATGTTGGGTTGACGTTATCGACGTATAACTGGCATTTGTACACTCCTTATTAACGATTTTGGTTTAGACCCGACCCATTTTGTATTCTGGACTCGGGTTTCATGATTTCGTATTGTTGTTCATGTCTTGTTTTCCTTGTACGTTCTTAAATTTGGTTATTGGATTGTAGTGATTATGTTTCGAACAGGTTAGTTACTTAGTCTTCAAACCTTTGTTGCCTAGAATTTTGCTCCTCTACTCGAGTGGCACTTCTTGCGCTCGAGCGAGATTTGTGAACTCGCAATACTTTTGCAGGTCTGCAAAACTACTGGGAGAGTGTATTCTACGCTCAAGCGGTTTCTTCTGCGCTCGAGCGACCCTTTCTGTACTCGAGTGTTGGTCTGTTGTCTGCAAAACTACTAGAAGTGTGCATTCTGTACTCGAGTGTACTTCTTGCGCTCGAATGGAACAACTTATTGTGTCTAACGCTCGAGCGTCACTTCTTGCGCTCAAGTGAACTGTGCATATATCAGTTCACAGCAGCACATTTTTACATCACTTTTTCATATATTTTTCTCTCAAAACCCTAGATCTAGAGCCTTTCTCTCTAAAACCTACCTTCTCTCTACATTTTCACCTACATCCATTGGGTTCTCTACCCATGTGCCTTTGTTAAAAAGGTAAAGCATCTTAAGGGCTACGTTTTCATTCGAATAGAGTTGCGTTTGAGCATCTTTAAAGTTTCCTCCTTGCCTTGGTCGACTTCTAGCTTTGAGGTAGGAATTTTCAATACTCTTCTATGATTTTTAACTCAGTTATTTGTTGATGTGTAAGAAATATTGGAACTTGGGATGATTTTGAACAAACTTAGGGTTTTGGTTTAAAATCAAAAGAGGGGTTTTTCCAATGTATGTATTAAAATTGATTATGGGATTAGATGTGAGGTTGTGTTGTGATAAATTTATTGATTTTGATACCCGAGGTTGATTTCGAAAGAAAAAAGAATTGCCTCAAATAGTTATTTCGTATAAAAACATGAAATTGGCATTAGGAATATGAAAATGGATGGATGTTTATATAAATGGTGGAGTTGGGTATGTATTACCTCTTACCTATGGAAATTTGAATAATTTATCTGTCTTGAAGATTGTATATCTGTTTAGAAATATCTGTTTTGGGCTATCGGTGGAGGATAGTTATGATTGTTGTAGAAATTGCATAATAATTAGGTGAATTGAAACTTATCACTTATCTGTTGTCATTGAATATGACTATGTTTTAATACATTGTAAATATATGATGTGTGGGATGAGAAAGGGGATGCACTCCATGTTTGGGAGAAGAAAGGGTATGGACTCCATTGAATTAAGTTGGCCTGTGTGTCCAGGGTGAAAGTCCCGAAAACTGTATGTATACATGGGTGCCGGTTCCCGCGGACGAAATATCCGTAAAATGACAAATAAAAGCGTTTATATAATGGTTGTGTTGCTTAGAAACCCATCGAGTTGTATCCTTAGTGTGGTTGTTTGAATGAATTGGTGAATGTTTCATGAAATAAGATAAAACGGTGAATGAATCATGAAATAAGATAAAATGAATTGAGATAAACATGAACTGTGATATAAAGCTTGGCATGGCATGGCATGGTTTTGCAAAAGAGTTATAAATGATTTTATCGTGGACATTGAATATGCATCTCATACTTATATCTTTGTTAAAATTCATATATTGTGTTAGATTGTTCCTACTGGGTTTTGGCTCACCCAATTTGGGAAAAACCATTTTCAGGTGTTGGAGATGTGCCTCCGCTAAAACAATAGTTTCGGGAGATTTGGAGCAAGTGCTTCTTTTTTATTATATTTACTTTGTATAACCAATGGCTTAATTGTATTGAGCTAGACTCATTTTTGTTGTAACCAAGCTGTTACTCGGAAAGATGTAAGCCTTTAGGGCATATGAAAATTTGTTTAGCTTTCATTACTTTTTACTATTTGTAACCCATACTGTAAATTCAGGATGAGTTATTTATGAATGTATATCGCATGTATCACCTTTTGTATATTAACTTTGATAAATGAAAGTACTTTGTTTCAACTTAATTTCCGTTTATGAGATGGGTTTATCATATTTATTTTGGGGCGTTACACCTCATTGCGTCGTTGGCAGCAATTGTGTTGGTAGGCAATGGTGTCAAGTATATGTTTTGATGTTGTATTTTACTTCTTTGATATATATTCTGATTGTGTTGTCGACATCATTGTCTATTTTTATGTGTAATGTTGGGTCGGTATAAGTTTGCACCGTATTGTTGTTGTATGTGAATGGTAGGTAATGTAAGTTTGGAGTACATTGGGGTTTTGGTGGTTTAGTCATTGTTCTGTTGTGTGTTATGTATGTGTAGATGTCATTTGGCAAGTTGATGTAACTTTGTGTTGCTGAATCATGATTGTGTTGTGTAATGTTGTTGTTTTTGTTGGCCATATTTTGTCATTATGATGTTTGTATTAACATGTGTTTTGTACATGTGAAATGCACTTGTTTTTTGACATTGTTATAGTTATTGGAGATACAGTAGTGTTAGTTAGTGGTTTGGGTCATTTAGATATTAACTAATGTCAATGTTATAATAAGGACGAACACCACACCAGCAACACCACAAACGGGGTAATATCATCCACTCACAAATCACTCCACTAAATTTCCCCAAAAAAATAGAAACATAAAAACCTACCTTACCTACACACACCCAATATTAAGAAAAAAATCCAAACAAAATCACACACAAGGGCAAACAAATAAACACCCAAGCCTCCCTAAAATTAAGGAATGGTGATTCTACTTACACCACTTTTTTATCTCTTTACACCCTCCATCTCATTACACCACTAAAAAAAATATTAGATTCTCATTATACCCAATATATTAACAAAACAAACCCTAAGGTAAAAAAATCTTCAAAACCCATCTCTTTACACCCATACTTTTCCGGTGTTCAGTTGCTGGAAATAATAGATCCCTCTAGCATTTTGTTGCTATACATTTACAGAGCCAATTTCTCCTAAACAATGTTTGTTTAATTTGTGCTAGGCTTGTTCGATAATACAATGCTAATCAATTTGAATTACACCAGTGCCATGTTACTGGATACAATTTTTTTTCCCAGCATTATGTTATCGTTCAATTGGATAATTTCAGTTTGCTTCACAACAAAGCCAGTGGAGCCCACATTGAAGTGCTTGTTCGGTTACACA